TTGTTGTTTGTTGAATGGTTGGTAATTGATGGTGTTGAAGGTAAATAATAAACCATAAAAGACTGACTGACTGACTGAGTTTGGTTTTACGCCGCTTTTAGCAATATTCCAGCAACATCACGACAGGGGACACCAGAAATGGGCTTCACACATTGTGCCCATGTGGGATTCGACCCTGGTCTTCGGCATGACGAGCCAACGCTTTAACCACTAGGCTACCCCACCGCCCCTAAAACCATAAAAGAACCAAAAATTCTTGTCTTTGTGTACCTCTCCATGTTCAACCATCTGTCTCTGAACTGTACTTGCTTACCTTCAGAAGTCAGAGATAATAACAAACACGTGACCTTGTGTAATATATTTATTATTTAGAGGGTATGGTTGTGATTCAATTTTACCGATTATTAATCGATGATTGATCGGTTGGGCCAATCCGATTGTAACTGATGATCGATTATGAAATCACAACCAATCACCCACCACTAGCGCTGGGTAACAGCAAAATGGTGAACATCTTGGAATTATCTTCCATTTGCAGCAGGACAGGTTCAAGACTTACAACACGGGACGCCATCTTGGCTCGCTAGGCGTGACTGCTCTAAAGTGGACAAGATGGCGCGTATTAGCGAGACCTCGTTTTCGTTCTGCAGCGGATATTCGCGAATAGTCGCGGGTATTCGTTCTGTTGAACACGCCTCAGGGGCGGTGAGGTAGCCTACTGGTTAAAGCGTTCGCTCGCCACACTGTAGACCCGGGTTCGTTCCGTGACCGTCCCACATTGTCACGGATGATGGTAGCTCTGGCTCTCCACTCACTTGGTCCGTCCGAGAATGCTACGTGAGGGGTCGGGGGCATATATGTACAGTTCGACACACTGTTTAAAGATTACTGCAACTTACCCAATAGTCAAGAATAAACTTGGTCAAGAATAAACGTTTGAAACGTGGAAACGTTATTGTCCGTGACCCGCGGAGAACATTCGGGTTGTACATCCGACTGGTAAGAATTCTAGAGATGAAAAGGTCTTCCAAATACCAACCAATGTCGGATGAGTGGAGATCATAGCCTTCTACTGGGGAGGTACCGCCAGGCCGACAATCGGGTTAATTTGCTCATTTTAGCCCCTTCTAGCAAGTCGGCCTGGCGCAACATTTTACACTTGCCAATTTAAAAAAGGATTAGCGAAACAGTGGGAGTGGAGGATTAAACCTGGGGAACATGTCAAAAAAGATAATTTGAAAAAAGTCATTTACGTCTGGTAGGATGATTCGTTTATTTCCAGTCTATATTTTTATTACTTCCTAACACAACATGTAAATTTGTATACCCATCAAAAGTTTAGACGCACTAGTGTAAATGCAGCCACTTACTTCAGTCAACTGTTCTAAACTATATTTTGCAAAATATTCCATACTGTTTAAAGGTACTGTTCACACATGAACTGATGTATTGTAAAACAAATTCGTATCATTGAAAAGATTATTGTCATGAGTTCAATAAATGATGAAACTCGGTGAAAATTGGCGAATTCTTAACAAAACTTTACACCAAAACGCAGCTGTTCACATGTACGATATTTGCACATGCTTTTCAGAAAATTGATGCATGATCCTCGTGCAATTCATCTGCATAAGGTTTGCAGTTGGTTCCCCCATGTTACTGGAGAATGTTTTACGCCGCACTCAGCAATATTCATGCTATATGGCGGCGGTCTGTAAATAATCGATCAGTGATCAACAGCATTAGCATCGACCTGCGCAATAGGGAACCTGTGGACTAGTCAGCGAGCCTGACCACCCGATCCCGTTAGTCGCCTCTAACGACAAGCATGAGTTACTGAAGGCCAATATTCTAACCCGGACCTTCACGGGTGAGATCATCTTCGTTGTAACCATATATTTATATACACAACATATAGTGAGTGCTTTTAGTGAGTCTAAACTTTTGATGGGTAGTATTAATACCCACCAAAACGACGAAGTACCTCGTGGTTACGAAACTCGTCAACAATGTTCAACGGCTGCAGTTTATCATAAAGATTACGTGACGAAGTCGGCGAGTGCCCAACTCAAATTAATTGCAACCGTTCGCTCCGGCAGACGGAGGGGAACAATGGTCATTAATTTGTTAGTGGATGTCACATATGTCTGTGTAGGGCTTAATTCACCGGTACAGGAAAAATAACTCCACAGTGTTGTAGAAGGAAGGAATCTCTTTAATTGTAACGCTTTTATCCAACTGATAGCAATCTTTCCAGTAACATATGTATAGGAGTGAGGGGTTGGACCACAGGCAAACTGTAGCGCAAATAAGGCTGCGCAACAAAGACGAAAATGACCAGTCGCTTCGCTCGCATAAACAAAGACTGGTCATTTTCTCTTTGTTGCGCAACCCTATTTGCGCTACAGTTTGCCTGTGGTTGGACGACCGCGACTCCTAACTAACCACATTGCATGCATGTCCTGGCACACATACATTCAAAGAAAAACGCCAGGTTCTATAACCACAAAATGTTTACTTTGTCTCAGTCCATCTCTCTGGGGGCGGTAGGGTAGTATAGTGTTTAAAGCGTTCGCTCGTCACGCCGACGAAGCCATTTCTGGTGTTCCCCGCCGTGATATAGCTGGAATATTGCTAAAAGTGGCGTAAAACAAAACTCACTCACCCCATCTCTCTATCAACTTCAACATAAGACTGGGTATCCATGTACCACATGGGAGAACAGAGTGACGTGGATCGGCTTCCGAAAGTGTAGAGCTCGCACTGCTCTCCTAGTGTTAAATACCAAAGTACATGTACTGTCGGAAAAAAAAACCCACTGTTTTTTTCACATTTATATCCACAATTTATGTAGGTAATATGTGAAAGTGTGAAATATCTGTTTAACTACAGTCTCAGTGGTAGGGAGATAGGAAACGTGAAAAAAGGACTTTACTGAGGAGAGATAAGTTCAGAAATGAGCAATGTGTTGTTTTTCTAAGTCCAAGTCGACTTATTTGCAACAGACCTTGGCTTAGTGTGCGATAATATTGTATTACAAAGGACACTTTTTAATTTCCCATTTTGAAATTAGACTTAGCTTCATTATAAACGATAGATGACGTACAAAATAACATTTTTAATTGTGAAACACTTAAGGATGTAGCTACCATGGAGTCTCACTACCACGATAACGACAAACAGACATGGGGGTCGTCTCAAAAGCAAAACCAGGTCGGGTGTCGCAGAAGGTGGTTGGGGTCGGGCTGGGGGATAGAGATATCAGCTAAGATGAGATAATCCTTTAGGGGAATTAAACTGGGCAAGTAACAATTTACAAATAATATCCAGTCCTGTCGATCTTCGGGTGGCCATGCTACCTATATATTTTGAGACATTTAATACGATGGCTGATTTAAGCCTTTCTATGGGTATCATACTATTTTACATATCTCAACATTAACTTTATGAAAGAAAGACACGTTAGATGTTAATCAACATGTGAGACATATGCAACACACAAGAAAACGCATGTAATATCTTTGAGATGACCCCTTGTGGCTGTAGGCAGCACGTGCATTTCATGCTAGGTGTGTCGACGTTCCGTCATCATACCTGGCTGAGTCTTCTTTAGTCTGATCTATTGTTTTAAACAGCTATTCGTATTTTTTCTGTTTTGCCCGATTTTACGAGTAAACATGCTTTTCTGGATATCCTATTACGCATCCCACTGAACGCCTAGTTTGGCCGATGTGGGTTATTTTGACATATGCTATTTGCAATTGTGTAAATTTTAGGGATACAGAGTAACAGCCAAAAAACAGTTTTTTTCTATTTCCGACAGTACTTTAGTACATGTATGTCTTTTTAAGTGGTTCGAATCCAGCCTGATCTTGGTCACATGTTCCAACATATCGTTGTGGTTTCTTTAAAACTGTATCTGACCTTGAAATCATGTGTGTCCTGACGGGAAGAATACTTGGCAGCACCGATTGGTGACTCATCCCTGTACACTGATTTGTTGATTGTTTAATGTCAGCTTGAATCTGTTCTGTCTTTCACGACGAATTCGGTCTCTACCTTCCGTAGCCTACGGCCAAATCCAATTGTCTCTTTTGATTTCCGAGTAACTCGTAACTCCATTCCGTGCCTAACCGTTATCATTCATGAGATTAACTGCAAATCTAAATACGGAATCAGGTGTAATTCTCTATTGTTGTAGGGATGCATTTTTACCTTATAACATCCCCCGCCAATATATTGTTGGAATATTGCTAAAGAACGGCGCAAAACTGAACTCACTCACTTACTACAACACCAAGTACATCTACACACAGGTCGGTACTTCATGAATGTATAAGTTCCTATCTCGTTACACCGAGCACTATTACCTGTACAGGTATTCATTGGACTTGACTAGAATGGCTTTCCTCGTTATAACGCCCAAATATTCCTCATTTTAGGGGGTTCTTTTGTTGCTTAACGCCACTCTGCAATATTCCAGCTATGTGACGGCTGTACATAATTCAGCCTGGACCAGACAATCCAATGATTGACGTCGTTAGACTCGTTCTACGCAGGTGGGATACGATGACGTGCACCAACCAAGTCAGCAACCTGACCACCGTATCGCTACGACTACATCTGTCTACAAATTATCGGAAAGACTTCCGCCCGTAACCCGCGTTTTTTCATCATTCTATGCCTAAGAACAGATGTTTTTTTATTTAAAATATATTAACACTAACGCTAACCCTTACCCTAAACCTAAACCTAACCCCCAAACCTCGAAATAATCCTGATAAATAGAACACATTTCAAGCGGGCGTAACTCTTACCAAATTATCAAATAACGTACAGATTGTACAGAGAGCGTCTGTCTCTTCCCAGGGGTTAAAGGTCGCTACGAGGTGAATGAATGTACTCGCTTTACAAGACATATGAAATATGTGAGTCATCAAATCCGACCGAGCGAAACGTCTCGTGGCTTCTCGAGAGACGCGAGACTACCAGCGAGATGCCTCTATCTGACATCAGATGAACGTTCAGATGGCTGTGACAGTCTCTCAAGACGAAGTGTCCTAAACTAAGGTAGGATCTTAATCAAAATTTCTATCGATACAACTATTCCACAACCATGGTTTGTGAATCTAATAGGAACATATACAACACCATCTGAAAACATTCATGTAAAATGTATAATCAAAGACAATATTTCGTTTTGCGTATTTCTGTTTTGTTAACACTGAAATATATTACAGAAGAGATTACTTTACATTGTTGTAAAATACAAGCGTTGAAATGTCGCTTCTCTTTAATGTGGCATATTTACACAAATATTTGCATTAGACTCATTGGCAAGAGTTCTCCCGTTCCCCCATCCCAAATAATAGTTATAAATATACTAAAGTTATTAACAAAACTTGACACAACAAGTACTAGAGAACTCAAAAAATGACTAAAAGTCCAAAATTTAAGTTAGGGTTAGGTTTAGGGTTAGGGTTAGGTTTAGAGTTAGGTTTAGGGTTGGGGGAACGGAAGGAACTCTTTCCGACTCATTTATCAATGTTCTTCACTGTCACCTCCTGACCCCTATCGCTATATCATTATGGCATGAAGGTATTGCTTTCTCCATGCTCGCTCGACACGGGATGTGCGGTCGCATCAGCTGACACGTTTTTCTCTCGTGAAGCACAATTATAAGGTCTGAAAAGTGAACGTTGCACGAGAATTGCGTTCGCGCAGCTCTGGACCTGCCCGCGACTATGAAATTACACAGATGTAGAAGACTATCCAATGGTGTAGATTAAAGAGCAAATACTTAGTGGTTTTGAAAACAGACACTATTAAATATTTTCTGAAACTCTGTTGTGCGTTAAAAAACAGTGAATGTATCCGCTTTTTGTCGTACACCAAAAAGGCACTGTGCGACTATACTTTTTTTGAGCGTCTAAAGGGAAACCGGGCAAATAAAATTCTTACTGATATCTGCATGAGATAACAATATATCAATTAGATTTGTAAGCTTATGTATAACGTACTGCATTCAAAATATGAATGTTTTGCTATAACGTCAAACGACGTCACTCGTCCACGACCACGTTATTGTGTCGTTGTCAATTTCAAAGTAGAAGCTACGCGTATTGAGCGAAATTGGATATCATTTCAATTTATGAGAACTGACTTTCACTTTGTGTGAATTTATTCTTGTGAACCTTTACAGATTAATAGTCACATATAGCCTCAAACCATTCGTAATACAGTCTGAGGACTTGCTGTTTGCTTCCCATGTCTTTTCGTGGGAATGTTTGTTTTTTCTTTTAAATTCCAAATTATTCATTATATGAATGATTGTACGTATCTTTCCACTGATTGCTCAAAATGGCCCCCATTTAGCTGGAATATTGCTGAGTGCGACGTAAAACTAAACTTAACTCACTCTAAATGACGCCGAAAATAATTAATGTATGCAAGTTATTGTTTGAAAAAGCTTCATGATTAAAATATTTAAATTGGTCTTTGCGAAACATCTACCAAACCTTGCCAAACACTGCCATTACTGAGCTATTCATCATTAAACCTAGCGTTTCTTGCGTCAACTGGTGAGGTCAGTGTGACTGTTACAAATATAGTAATTATACCTTGGTAAACTCAACAATGATTGTTTTAATGGTGTTGGGGTAGTCTACTGGTTAAAGCGTTCACGTACCACGCCGAAGGCCCGAGTTCGATTTTTGGTGTCGTGAAGTCATATTGCCGAAAGGTTGCCAAAAGCCCGTAAAACCGACTCACTCACTACTGATAATGGTTGTGGTAATATTGAGCAACAACTCCAAGAATAGGCTCACGTAAAACAAAGCCAGGGACACTATACGCTAAACGTTCGTAGAACTATGCCATTCGTAAGCCAATGGTAAAGTATAGTTACGATAGGTCGTAACGTTTCGAACTCTTAGTGGATCGGGAACCTGGTCTCATTCAGAAACCGCCTCCATGGTGTAGTGGTTAGAGCGTCCGCCCGGAGAGCGGAAGGTCGCGGCTTCAATCCCCGACCGCGTCATACCAAAAGACGTTAAAATATGGTACTTGTTGGTCCCTGCCTGGCGCTCGGCTTTAATGGGTACAACAAGGACTGGTCGGCTCGGAGTCAGTATAATGTGTCTGAGTGGGGTATTCATGCTTCACTGCGGCATGGTATCTCAGTGGGCTAGCACTATAAAACCAGCTTAAGTCTGGGCTAGTACAAGCAGCTGCACATACACACGCATGCACGTCGTCATATGAGCGAAATATTCTCAAGCACGACGATAAACCCAATTTCACCTCCCCTCACCTCTCAACTCGTGACAATCTTTTCAACGTTACAAATGTGTTTTGCAATACATCAGTTAATGTGCAAACAGTACCTTTACACAGTCTGGAAAGTTTTGCAAAATATATTTTAGAACAGTTGACTTAAGTAAATGGCTACATTTACACTAGTGTGTCTAAACTTTTGTTTGGGAGTATATTTACCAAATGAAAAGTCACTAGCCAGTCGGGCCAGTGACTGGAGATTTACTGGCCAGAATGGATTTGTACTAGCCACGGGCTGGCGGACCAGTGGCTATTTCGCACACTGCCTAAAGCTATCATATTGGGGCAACGTTAGTCCATCTCGGACGCCGCTATTGGCTGTGGAGATGACCATGGGTTCGAATCACTGTTCCCTGTGAATATTTTCTATTTTCTTTGAATATTTTCATAGTTCTCTCTTCAGCCAGGGAGTTTGTGTCGTTTGGGATGTGTAATCAGGTTCTCGTTGTCATAACTAAACTAACCAATCAAAGAGCAGGGGATATTCCATTACGGTGACATTATTTGAGTGACTTGTTTGAGTGGCATTTAGAAGTTGGTGTGATGAACAACGAGGAGAGTTCTATGGATATAGAGCTTCTTTAATATGAGCGTTGTAAGAACAAAAGTTGTATATCCATAGAACTCTCCTCGTTGATTATTTGAGTGAGTTTAGTTTTACGCCGCACTCAGCAACATTCCAGCTATATGGCGGCGGTCTGTTAATAATCGAATCTGGACCAGAAAACCCAGTGATCAACAACATGAGCATCGATCTGTGCCATTAGGAACCGATGACATGTGTCAACCTAGTCAGCGAGCCTGACCACCCGGTCCCGTTAGTCGCCTCTTACGACAAGGATGGGTTGCTGAAGATCAATATTGTAACCCGGACCTTCACGGGTCGACCTTATTTGAGAACCAAGCTGTATGGTTGTATATGGATTAGTAACTAATTATTAGATTCACACCCTGTTGTGAATTTCGTGCAAACATGCCGATTTTCGGTACAATTCTAAATCTACATTAAAACGTGTCAGCTGTACATTTCAGTGATAAAAAAGCAACTGAAATTTATTTGGATATTGGTTCAAACTCAGCTCAACGCTTTTTCAACATGCGGCGCCTGTAACGTCAGGAACAGCCACGTGCATTTGGCATGTTGGATGTTTGAACAAGAGCAAGAGCTCTTAACGTTCCACAGTCAGTAAATAGCACTAATTTAGCAGATTATAAACACGATATCGTCTAACATTGATGACAGACGCTGATCTGGTCGACCAAGGGGCTGACGCACAAGGCCGTATCATTCACAATGGCGTTACTTGACAGGAACACCGGAAGTTTTGCGTGTTCGTGCCGTTAACGTTAGACAGAACGACCATTTTTTGGTTTTTATTATTTTGTTTTATTTATTTTTTGGGGGGTGGGGGTGGGGGCAGCTCTGGGGTTCGTTGTGCAAAATCTTACCGCCACAACTGTCGTAAGTCTATGTTGAAGTATGGGAGTTACGATCACCTTGGCGCTGAGATCGCTCTGTAGAAACCACTCGGTAGTGGTTTGGGCGTGGAATCACTGACAGGAGTAAATCCGTCGAATAAGCCATATGATCATGACTTGCAAAGCACACAACAAAACATACATCAATAACCTGTATACATTGATTATTTTCGGGCCTCATTTTGAATAATCAGTGGAAAGATATGTACAACCATTCATATAGTGAACAATTTGGAATTAAAAAGCAAAAAAATAAGAAAAAACCCAAACATTCACATAAGACATTTCTACTTACATGTCAGTCCATAGTACGATTCAAACTGTAAAATGCATTTATTATACTTCCATTATTGTCTATAAATAATTTCTCCGATATAATTATTACATAAACCTAACTGGAATTGAAATATTCACACAGCTTCATTACCTACCTATTTACAAGCAAATCTGACAGTAGACGTTTATGTGTCGGATTGAACATTGACAGCCACACAGCAGGCTATAGTGACGTAACATGCACACATCCATCAAACCTATCCCTCTGTGAAATTCTGTAATAGCGGTCTCAGTAGCATCGTCATACAAGCTATACTTATGTAATAACTCATCAGTGACGTATCGTCGGTCACGATTTACATCCAGATCATGTACAATTCATTCAGTAAGGTATCACTCAAGGTGAAAACTTTGGGCGATTACTATAGAGGTCAAGCATCTTCACTGGTCAGTACACAACACCACCGACAGTAAACTGCTTGACTGTAATCGTTCTTCTTCTTACTAAGGTTAGAAACATTTAGCCTCGTTATTTGATATATTTTGTCTTATACATATACTCAACAACAAAAGTTAAGGACCACCCCAATATTCAATATTTATGTATTATATGGAACATAATATGAACTATTAAACACTTTAATACTGATGACCCGTGAAGATCCGGGGTGGAATAGGTCTTCAGCAACCCATGCTTGCCACAAAAGGCGACTATGCTTGTCGTAAGAGGCGACTAACGGGATCGGGTGGCCAGGCTCGCTGACTGAGTTGACACGTCATCGGTTCCCAATTGTGCAGATCGATGCTCATGCTGTTGATCACTGGATTTTATCGTCCAGACTCGATTATTTACAGACCGCCGCCATATAGCTGAAATATTGCTGAGTGCGGAGTAAAACTGAACTCACTCACTCACTTTAATATTGAAAATTGGAGTGGCCCTTAACTTTTTGTTGAGTATATTAAGTATAATCTAGATAGTTAGTGATTTTATCGGTTGTTAACTTAAACAGTCTATCATAAACCCACAGACACATTTGCAGTGTGCGCCTAATAATCCACTGTTTGTAATATAAGTATGCATTTTTGCATATATATATGAAAGATCATGCAAATAGCTTGTGTGTACATTATGTAAACCCAAAATCATTTCTTTTACATCCAGGTAACCACACTGCTGTGTTCTGCGCGCGCAGACTGAGCTATGCGCAGAATGATATGCGCAGGTACCTGAACGAGGCGGTAGAGCGCCCGTACCTCCCCCACGGAATGTCTCCAGCGACGGGGAGACTTGCAGAAGGAGGGGTGCGGAAAGAGTGATGACAGGTAGGTGCCCGAATTTACCTGTGTGAACATCTTATTCACGTCACTATTTTTTTCTTACGTTTGCCACCTTTCACAATGCGTATGTTTCTAGCATCAGAGACCATATAATCTATTATATGGTCTCTGCTAGCATCAACGTGGGTGGGTTATATTTCAGCTGTACACTTACAGTGATGACATACATATTTCACTCTGTACCGATCCCGGTGTCATAGAAATTTTCAAAAAGAAACCACATTTCCGCCAATATATATAGAAAGTGTAATCCCAAATATAACCTGTTACGTTTGAAATTTCGCTGTTGACCTTTATTTATAGATATTTAGAGGCACTATGTTATCCACCTTGTATAAACGATATTACACATCAAGTTCATCTCTTGACAGAACTCAGGCGAAGTTAAATAAGAACAATGTTTCTATTTTTCCGTAACACGCATTGTTAGGGGTTCATTAAATCAGAAACCCCGCTAATAGGACGATCGTTGAGGAACATCTCATATTGAAAACAGCCATTCTCTAATCTGGACATTTGTTAATCCAGACAGTTTCATGAAATCCCACAGCACTTCTACACAAGCATACAAGAGGGGGCTGAATCAGTCTGACATGTGCATCTGATCCCATCTTGATCGCTCCCATCTTGATAGCTTCCGTTCACCTTTAAAGGCACAATTTCACATATATTCGACAATATTTTGGCCTATATTATATATATTTGGGCATATGCACTCACTTTGGCTTTCTATTGTTGCAATAAAAGACTTTGTATCCCTTACAACTGATAGTATTACTGAGAGAAATGCATACTTATTAGAGAAGTGTGGTGTGATATAGTGCCTTTAACCAAATTAGGGAAGACGTTGACGTCATTGTCGATATTGATGCAGTAGGATGTGGTAAATACGCCGTCCTCGACATCAAGTCTTTACAGATCCGCCTCAAATATCAAAACTGTAAACTAATGGTATAACAAACTGAAAAAGGACTAACAGGTGTAGTTCGTGTTAACCGTAAAAAGGAAACTTTTCGCAATAAGTCAGTTCGTCATAAGAGTGTTCGTTATAGAGGTATGTCACTGCATGTGGAGAGATGTATCAATCATGGTCGAAATTAGACCCGAAGAATGCTACAGTTTTATAAGAAATCAAAGTAATTATACCACAACAAATGTTATGTTTAGGATTACTGTTTAAAGTAAAAGTTCTGACATTTTGGGATTGAATCAAATCTGAGAGTCGAATCCATTCTCTCAGAGTGAGCGATGACAAATATGGACAGCTAGATTTCTTCAAAGAATGAGTCTTGCAGGTTGTCGACCAAATATTTCGAAAAAGCAAAAAGTATGTAGCCAAGCCATGTGAGTAATTGTAATTATTGATATGACGCTAATCTGCATGGCCCGGGGAAGCGAAATCTGGACCAAATTAAACCACCTCGATTTAGGTGTCTCTTTCGCGGGAACGGTCAAGCTACAGTGAACACTGAATTTAGCGTTCCCGGGACTCGCAATACACAAGAAAAACAAAGAAATGTGAGTAGTCGTCTGATACAGTAGTCATGTAGAAATCCAATAAATAAATAAATACGTTTAACATTTGCAAGCCATGGTGAAGCATATTATTTTCTAGCATTTGTTATAAACAGTGTGAATTATAACTGACATTTTATTTTGATGCACATTAGTAGCAAGTTTAAACGAAACTGAAATTATTCACTTTTTGATATATACAGAGATAGGAATTGTCCAATCTCTTCGTAGAGCATTTAGGATGGTGTACTCTTGCATAGTTTCAGGACAGATTTCATGAATAGCCTGTGAATATTTTTTCTAAAATGTATAGATTTGAATGTCCCCACACCTCGCAACCATATAACATGATTGGTAGGATCATGCAGTCAAAACATTTACACAAACAATCAATAGGAATCAGGAGATTTCTAGCCTTTGATGGGATAATAAACGCTACTACTTATGCTTGGTCGTGGAGTGCCAGGAAGGTTGAGTTGGGCTTTAGGTCACATCGGCATTATTCCAGCCATATAGTGACGAGAAAAAGTCTGCATTCATAAACAATTTAAATGAGTTTTATATTTAAACATATTTATTCATGACATTGTTATTTAAAAACAGAAAATGTCAAAGCACTAAATTCAAAAGCACGCAATTCGTTATTCACACTACATAGTTACAATTTATGATAGATCATCTTCCCTCAGGTAGTTCACTGTGAGATGCCCGCTCACGCGGGAAAACAGATATCGGTGGTACATGAGTATAACAAAGGAGTACATACAAAATGTACAACAAGATGACTAAGTGATACATCAATCATAATGTTTACAAACAATCTTAATGAACTTGGATACATTTTAAGAGTAGATATTTTCCTTGAAAAAAGTTGACGGAACTTTGACAAATTCGGCCAGGTACATTAAGGTTCTTTAACAATGATCATAATTCATTACATGAATTAATAAAAGTATAGTTTAGTAGGGTCACGTACGTGCTGAAACTTGAAACAACTAAAACTTCATCTCAGTTAAGCGGCTCAGAGAAGGAGTATTGGGGTCGCGCGCTAATCTGAAGCACGGTAATCCGATGTTTACATAGCAATTCGCTTCCGCGACACTTCTAGCACAATTTTGGTTTTTCGCTTTACCAGGAATAGGGAATATTGAAATTTCCTTATCACGGCCGCACTGAACAGTCAACCCTGTCTCAGCAGAGACCATAAAATAATCTATTATATAATAATCTATTATATGGTCTCTGAGTTCAGTAATTACTGTGTATGACATTTACGACCCCAATTGGTCGTGTCTGCCATCACATCAACTAGCCCAAGGGAGAGCTATTTTTTTTCTGTCCATTGTTAGCTCTTTGTCTGTCCATTGTTGTGTATGTTCATATCTATATCTACCAGTCCGGTATTCCGACTGCCCGTAGGGACGACCGCGAGCAGGATAATGCCGCTCGTAGGAAACGCCCTGGGGTTGAGCTGGAACTCCGCTCCCCTCCGCTCACTCATGTCTGAGCCGGCAATCCAGCCCTTTGCGGTCTCGTGTATTCACAGAGGTACAGATAAGCTGCGTGTCTGCGTAAATTACGCAAATATTTACGTGAAAACTCAATTCCAAATAGTCTATTGTGTACGAGTACGCTTGAATTTTTGTTAGTACTCAATAAATGTGATCTTACATGCGTACACACAAAAATATCAAATCATTGCTGTAAGGGTGGATAGATAAAATAACTGAGGTATACTGAGAGGTTCTATTTCAGGACATGAACTTGACAACTTGCAGTTTTTCTCATTGTTTCTCATATTACAGATCTAATATAAATAATAAACACTAACATTTAAACTTTATTATATTTTTACAACAAATAGAAAATGGCAAAATACCCAACTGAGTTTGAGTTAGGTGAGTATACAATTTATTGGTTACTCAAAGGAAAATTAAAATACCCAGTGACCCAAAACGTTATCTGTAACTGATTCCTCTGTCATGTTTTGTATAGCCAGCTAAAGAAGTTTAGACCCAACGTATTTTGTCTTCGTCACCGTATTCTGAGCTGGTTACCCTGTCGACATATGTACGCGCTGACATTTCAAACAGTAGGTTACTCCCCCCACTACGTATTATTGTGTAATTAAAGTTGAAAGACACTATTGGATTTGACCACAAAGCTACACAGGTCATCAAAACACCACGAGACTCACAGTAGTCTCCAAAATACTTCACACCCCAGATGAAAAACTCAAGTATGAAGACCATATCAGATATATGTCCATGGTCGTTTTTAAGCCAGGATGAAACATGAGTATGTTCTGTATTTAACTAGGCAGTTTATTTTTCACTACAGTATAAGCGGTTGATATTGCGTGTGGATATGTGGCCGTTCAGACAAGTAAAACATCATGGAAGTCTTCAACAGTATAACACGAGGTCGATAAATTGTTTAGGAACCTTTCATGATATTTCACAAAAAATCTCCAAAAAAAAAAAATATTTCACAAAAATCTCCCCAAAAAAATAAATAAAATAAAATAAAATAAATAAAATAAAATAAAATAAAATAAAAATTAAAAAATAAATAAATAATAAAATAAAAAATGAAAATAAATAAATAAATAAAATAATAATAAAATCATCATCAACCCCACCCCCAGCCATACATTAGGAACTTTATTTATTGCCCTCGGCAATATATCAACGTGGACATAGTATACTAGGGTTATAACGAAGTCAGGGAAATTTGTTTTATTTCGCAATAACAATAGTTCGTTATACGCATCGACACTAAACTCACCGACTGGCCGGGGGAAACTAGTTCGTTATAACCGTAGTTCGTCATACACATCGAGACTAAAATATAGTGGACGGGACAAAAACAACACAGTTCATTATAACCGTCATTTCGTAATAAGCGTGTTGGTTATAAACACAGCTGTGTTTCGCTCCACACAACATTGTGGTTCATCCATCTCGTGTCAGTATGGGTAACTAACGTGGGATTCAATGCCGCAAATGTCTAATCCCTTCTTCATACGAACGTAGCCATCCTCTCCCCATTTTGGACCTGGAACAAGATCCGATAACGGATTAGGATCATTGTGACCGTATTACAGAGATGCATCTCAGTCAGTTAATAATCGACGTTAAACATAAGCAACTGAAACAAATTACGGACAAACCAATTCACTCAAATACGTTCTGATTTCTGTGGGTATTTTGTTTTAATAACCCAGGAAGTTGTTTTCGGTCACTGCTTCAAAACTATAGTCCCTTTGGCTCAAAAGCGGACCGATGAATTGCAATCTAACTTGAAAACTAATAAACATATAATACTCAATGAAACACTGATCATAATGAAAACATCAGACCAACTCTGTGATTTGTTTGCAGAATTTATGTCCTAAATTAAAAAGTTGTTTAACAAACTATCATTAAAATATTGACACAGTTCACTATTTGTTACGAGGGAGGAGTGCAGAGAATGGGACAGCCAGGTGTTAGAGAAGCACGTGCATAAGTGCCGACAAAGTTATTGATTCATTAACCTGTGCTGCGCCGTCTCCATCCTTTCTCGAACTCCTGGCTGTACCTTTCTCTGCGGTCCTCCCTCGTAACAAATATGATCAGTGTTTCATGTTATGTTTATTACTTTTTTCGAGTACCCACAATGTTTACACGCCAATTCATCGGTCCATTACATTTGAGACAATCCTAAAGCGATGGACTATAGGGTTGATCACATTTACCCCAAACGTTCTGAACGTACCCCAGGTGTTTTTGCAAATCCAAAACTCTTGTCCGTCTTCCTCCCCGTACCCCACCACTTGCATGGCGTGGTTTATGACAGTCTTGTTGCAGTCGGTGTCGTTGTAGATGCCACTTTGGTATCGCCCGAACGAAGCTTTGCTGGCGTCCATGAGTACCGCCAGGGGGCGCTTCAGCAATGCCTGTTCCATTCGGTGTACATTACCAGCTTGCACGGCCTTCCCTCCCCGGACCTGTAGAGAGTATCCACAACATCAGTCTATTAACGAATACATGACTAATAGCGTATTTGTCCAACATAACCTTAACAATAATTATAATAACAATAAAAAAAAAATATGAAGCACATAGAACATTTCCCTTGAAAAGTCCAATTGAAATTACAACGGAAACAGTGGTCAGGAGGGAGTTACAACATGAGCACTCATCTAATCCTACCGGGTACCCATTCAGTGATGAGTCTCCAAATGTTTAAATAAAGCATCTTGGTCCGGGAAAGCGGAAATCTTGTCAACCCCAACGGATCAAACTTTTCAAACCATCCAAATATCTATTCTCATACCACTCTGGATATCAGTGTCAGACTAACGGAGAGGCTTTGTGACGCACGTCATCCTATGGCATCGAGGTGGGGTAGCCTAATGGTTAAAGCGTCCGCTCATCACACCGAAGACCCGGGTTCTATTCCCCACATGGGCACGATGTGTGAAGCCCATTCCTGGACTCCTCCGTGATATTGCTGGAATATTGCTAAAAGAGGTGTAACACCGAACTCACTCACTTGCAACGCATCACATCACATCGCACCCCAAATGCGTTGCTCAAGACGTTGATAATCACTGGATTGTCTGGTCGAAATTTAACTATCTACAGATCGCCATTACGTAGTTAGAGTTTCCATTCAAGCAAACAAACATTTGTTTTCAGATGCACCGTATGGTTTAACATTCTCAATAACCTCTAAGTGTGTTTTACATTCAGTAATGATTAGTCAATATTTAAGAAAATTATGAATCTTCCCACCTGGATGGTCACCTTCTTCATTTAGGCTTACTTTGCACGAGAGATATCGCCGTCCTATTGGCCAAATAGAACTGGAAAAGGAAATTTGCAATGGCGGTTTTTGGCGTATTTGACCTTGGCCTTACCGTAGCTACCGCTTGGCACGAGTTGTTTTTGCATTGCCCTGTGTAAAGAGGGTAAGTCGTCGCGCCGCAGAGGCCGCCGATGTTGTGTATGCAGTCAAAGACCCCATCTTCCAATGACCGACAGCAGTCCACAATCTCCCATGCGCTCAATCCCAGCAAGAAACCAGTCTTAATGGCTTGGAAGCTCGCGACACAACCTGTTCAGGAAGAAACACCTAAAAATGTACCTGTAAAGTAAGACGATTATGTTAACGTTGCCAAAAGGTAATCCAATTGTGTCAGCAATGAACGTTGTGGTATAACTGGAATACTCGTCAAAGCGGCTTTATGTTCAACCAAATTCACTCACACCCTTGTGGCGCATAGGAACTAAGGATGCGAGTTACCTGGTGTTAATCAATTCAAGAAGTGGATCTAACGTTGTTTAGTTAAATAAAAATAATAATAGACTATATATATATATAGCGCATATATCCATGTCCGTGACATACTCAAAGCGCACGTCATCGTATCCCAGATGCGCAGATCGTTTCTAATGTTGTTGATCACTGGATTGTCTGGTCCAGACTCGATTAATTACACACTTCCTAAATAAAGCTGGAGTACTGCTGAATGCAGCGTTAAACAACAAACCAACCTTAAGACTTGCACAACTTCAGGCTTTTCTCCCAAGATGGCGCCGTGATATGGATGGAATATTGTAACAGTTCAAAAAGGCGTCAAACCCAACTAACTCACTCATGACTACTGACAAGGTATCCTATCATTTAAATGAACGGAAATCAGGTCTATCAATGGATTAAGAAACACAGGTACCTCTAGCGACTATGGCGAAACTATTGCCAAATGCGTCTATGTTGGTCACAGGGGAGATAACTCCTTTCCTTCTCCAGTCGAACGTCTTTGGACGAGTTTGCGGTACGTCGTTGTCATGGAGAATGTTAGCCAAGGGGGGATGTAGATTTGTGTTGAAAAGCTGACGTCCAGACTGTCTGACAACAGTGAGTGTAAAACAAGGACCAGGTAATATATTCGTGTCGGAGTAGGGTGTCCAGTTGAAAACCCAACAGTGCAAGTGCAGCGGTCATACAATTTCCGAGTCCCGTCATGGGATTCGAACCACGGACCCTCTGATCCGAAGTCTGACGCCTTGTCCACATGACCAAATAGGTTAACCCCGTCAGCAAGCTGACAAGGTAAGGATATCTTCTGTGGGATGAGTCCACGCCCTGCTACGCAAGCATCGACGCAGATGCGCGTGCACGCACGCACGCATATGCAGCGACCAAGGTTTTAATTCGAGACAGCCGTGAATTCGACATATCAGTTTATGACTATATGCATGTACAGATACGCTAACACAGATTAAGTAAGCATTCGATTTATATATGCACGAATAAATATTTTGATATTGGGAGAAAAAATGAAAATCAATTGTTTTATATAGTTATCAGTTAAACATTAAAGAAAATAAATCGGATTCAGTTTAGTGTTCGGGTCCTATGAAAATTAGCAACCTTCGACACAATACGTTTTATGGAAATCCTTACTCCTGTCGGCAAACCAGGGCCCCGTATCACAAAGCTATCTTCTATACCGTAACATTGACTTACGACAGTCGTACCGCTACGATAGCTTTGTGAAACGGGGCCAAGTTCATCTCAAAGGAAACGTGAGCACCTACATTGCTGTTGTAAGCATTTTCTTGATCCAGGTTGCCTTGCCCCCCTTCCCACCTCCAGACCGCTGTATCTCCTCCCGTACTTCACTTTCCACTCCTCCCATCTCCTCAGCAAGTTGTCCCGAGGCGCTCCGAGGGAGGAGGAAGTAAGGGCAAGTAGAAGAACGACACACGATACCTTCATGTTTGTTGGTGAAAGGGGTTGTATTATTGTGATTAGAATAACAGTGATTTACATGTTACAATCAATATTATCCACTGCCTGTACACACTACTGTATCCGACAGATAAAGAGAATATATCCCATGACTGCGTGTCACGTGACTAGTGTAACGGTATGCAGTCAATAGTGAAGGAAATGTCACGTGTTGTGGTTTAGGCCCCCACGTCCATCATTTGATAACAGTCGGTTGCGGATTTGGGTATGTTTGTCTACTATCCTTGAAGAGTCGACCGATGACTTGTTCATCGTGTGTACATAGATAGAAGAATGGTTATAATACTGCTGAAGTTAGCATTATGAACTATGTCATGTCAATTCCATCTCCATCGTGCGTCCGGTGACAAACAACGTTTCATACCTTTCCGAATGGTCTCATGGTTGTCGGCTGACAGTAAGGAACCGATCATCCTTGCAGGAATAACACATTTCCGATCTAACAATCCCCAAATTATTGCGACTGTCAACAGCTGTGACAGCCATGGTTGTAGACTTGGTCCTGTCTAGTAAAGTCATATTTGGCGGTCGTGCAATTAGGAAACAGAACTGGTTCTTGAATATACGCTTGTCACCGGAACTCTGGTACCAGAAGTAAGCTGGGCCCCGTCTCGCATATCGGAAGTCTCGCATCATTCGTCACCACTCGCCCCTTTCCGTAACCGCTATTCGGCTTGTCCCGGAATAACACGAGTGGGTCACGAATGGTCTCGCATATCGCAAGGGAACCGGGAACCAGCTTAGTACCGGAAGTAGCGCAGGCCTAATGTCTTGATATGTGTCAGTCATTGTCCACATGTTACAGTCTCAATGATGTGTGACTTGAGCTTCATATTCATTGACAATATCATTAGTCACAACACACGCAATATCACAGCACTCTTCACTGTCACCCCAAATCACGTTCTTTGACACAACCACAAGTGATACAATCACTTAATCCCCAATCGGACCGCCTCTGTGATGTAGTGGTTAGAGCGTCCGCCCGGAGAGCGGGAGGTCGCGGGTTCGATCCTCGACCGTGTCATACCAAAAGACGTTAAAATATGGTACTTGTTGGTCCCTGCCTGGCGCTCGGTATTAATACAACAAAGACTGGTCGGCTCGGAGTCAGTATAATGTGTCTGAGTGGGGTATTTATGCTTCACTGCGGCATGGTATCGCAGTGGTCTATAAGCACTATAAAACCAGCTTAAATCTAGGCTAGTACAAGCAGCCGCACATACACATACACACGCATGCACGTCGTCAGGTGAGCGAAATATTCTCAAGTACGACGTTAAACCCAATTTCACCTCACCTCCCCATCAGATTTCGACATGAACAAAACCATTACATAGTAAAATCTTGCTAAGTGAAATCGCATGCTCTATGTTGAATATATTCGAAATAAGTAACATATTATCATATCCTTCCTTATGGATTCTGTGCAAATCCTACGTTGTCACATCATGCGTTATGTCGTTAGAGGCGACTAACGGGATCGGATGGTCAGACTCGCTGACTTGGTTGACACGCGTCATCGGTTCCCAATTGCGCAAATCGATGCTCATGCTTTTGCTCACTGGATTGTCAGGTCCAGTCTCGATTATTACAGACCGCCGCCATAATAGCTGAGTGCTGAGTGCGGCGTACAACTAAACTCACTCACTCACATCATAAGCGTTGATGTATCATCATAAAGTAGTAGTCGACTGTCACTGCCGCCAAACGGTTATCCCGATTGGTTTGAGGCAGATGTTTCTTAATGATACCCTCATTTTAATGGATCTATATTTATATTGGTCACATTTTAACCCCGAATGTGATGACATTCACCAAAGAGGCTCAAACTGTGTTGATTCTAATTACGTACTTGCCTTAAGTAAAGCACCAATACTTCGAGTATATATGTGATTCCTACCATTGGAAGAATTCGGAAACTAATGTTCCACAATGACGTAATTGTCAGTATTTTAGCAATCAAAATGCGAAAATCATCACAATCAATACTCATAAAACGAGTTTTCATAATTGACTTTTATTTTAAAAAATATACATTTTGATTATGAACGTGTAGTGTATTCCGTATGGGAACAGAAATGATCATCGTATGGAGGAGAAATAGACCCAGTGATTAATCAATGCTTAACAACTGCAAGGTTAGAGTACATCAATGTGAATATTTCTGCCTCATGATACTGAGTTTAAATCATCTGGTGCTAGTAGGGGTAGCTAGCATGGGATTCAACTCCGCATGTGTCGGATCCCTTCTTGATGCGGATGTAGCCATTCTCTCCCCAGGACTCCCCTGAAACAACACATCTAGATACAGTGGTGGATTAACAACAGTGTTTACGTGTATAGGAACATGTACGTATGGTTCAGTTGCCTCTTTAAAATAAAAGTTTCGCCATAACCGCCTCCGTGGTGTAGTGGTTAGAGCGTCCGCCCGGAGAGCGGAAGGTCGCGGGTTCGATCTCCGACCGCGTCATACCAAAAGACGTTAAAATATGGTACTTGTTGGTCCCTGCCTGGCGCTCGGCATTAATGGGTACAACAAGGACTGGTCGGCTCGGAGTCAGTATAATGTGTCTGAGTGGGCTAGTACAAGCAGCCGCACATACACACGCATGCACGTCGTCATATGAGCGAAATATTCTCAAGCACGACGTAAAACCTCACCTCACCTCTAACCGCCATGTCAAGGTCGCTTTGTTGTGAGGCGTCGTCCGTTCGTCATTCGCTGACGTTTGCGTTTCTCATGAGAAGTACGACGTTTTGTGTGGATGACAATAACTTTGGTATGTCTAGAAATGCTCATAGGCTCCGGAGGCGGTGGAGTAGCCTAGTGGCCAAAGCGTTCGTTCTGTCATGCCGAAGAAATGCCCGGGTCTCAATCTCCAAATGGGTACAATGGGTGAAGCCCATTTCTGGTGTCCCCTGCCGTGTTATTGCTGGAATATTACTAAAAGCGGCGTAAAACTAAACTCACTTATAGGCTCTGATCAGATGTTAAACATCGTCGTCAGGACAGCCATATAAAGAATGTTCATTTTCGCTCATTATTAGGCCATTTTTGAAGATTAATCGTATATGCCATGGCCTCTACTGTTTGATAGAAGAACACCAGTGGGATGTTTAACAGAGCGGTTCGGCATAATTATTAGTGAGTGTTGGTTCTGCAATGATGATGTACGAACTTCAGCCATAAAGTGAGTGAGTGAGTTTAGTTTTACACCGCACTCGGCAATACTCCAGCAATATGGTAGCGATCGGTAAATAATCGAGTCTGGACCAGACAACCCTGTGATCAATACATGAACTTCGATCTGCGCAATTAGGACGCGATGACATGTGTCAACCAAGTCAGTGAGCCTGACCACCTGATCCCGTTAGTCGCCTCTTACGACAAGCATGGGTTAGTTCAGACCAATCCTAACCCGGACCTTCACGGGCAACTAAGACAAATTACCAGCAACATCCTGATACAACAAACGTGTCCTGCTATACACGATGAGCTAAACATTGTGGTGATTATCATATTTACAAATATTCCTCTAGACGTACCCCAGCTGTTCTTGCAAATCCAAAACTCCTGTCCATCCTCCTCCCCGTACCCCACCACTTGCAAGGCGTGGTCAACTACAGTCTTGCTGCAGTCGGCGTCACTGTAGATGCCACTACTGTACTCCTCGAACGAAGGTTTGCTGGCATCGATGAGTGCCAACAGGGGGCGCTGGAGCAAGTCGTCCACCATTTTGTCCACTTGGCTTGCTGGCACGGATTTCCCTCCCTGGATCTGTAGAAAGAGTGCTCGAATAAACACGTAATAATAATTATAATGATGATAATAGTCCATTTCCATAGCGCCTTTACATGTGGCGAGGACATACTCAAAGCACTTCTATTATTACCCCGGATAACCCAAGCTGCCTGCGGGGCGCTAGAAGGTTAATAGTCACTTATCCCACCGGGTACCCATTTTCTGCTGGATAAACAGGCATTTTTGAACAGAGGTATTTTTTAACAAAGTGACTTGAGTGAGGTGAGACCACATGTGCTTCGTTGTGGGGCAGGGCTGAAGTCCTAGCAACTCTGAAGGGTCAAGCTGACCACCACGGTCACCTATCCAAAGACTCTCCGCGCTCAGCGAAGTCTTGACCTTGTGTCGCATCGTGTTGACATATTTAGTATAAAAAAAAGGCAGGCTAACTCGATTCTATGTATGCCAAAACTGTATGATAATCCTAATCCTTATTCAAAATAGTCCATTGTTATAATCACAAATCGAGTTCAAATCGATTATCAGTATGCTGGGAGAAAGTTGAACAGCCTAACTTCCAATCCTTCCGGGCACCCTTTTGGTGCTGAGGCAGCATGATGTAGGTAAACAATCCGGGAAATACCGAAGGGTGAAACTTTGACAATCCACCTACTCTTCATATAAGAACTGCCTAAATTCTAAGCGTCTTCTTGAAAGTTAGTATGTTTTTACGCCCCTTTTAGCAACATTCTAGCAATATCACATCGGAAAACCGGGCTTCACTCATCTTATCCATGTGGGGCACCGAACACGGGTCGTCCCAGTGACGAGCGAACGCTTTAACCACTAGGCTACCCCCACCGCCCCTGAGTTATATAGGGAACAATATGCTGCAACACTGAGATATGGTGAACCTTTTTATGACTTTTTCCCACATTGTCGATTCCGTTCCTATTTCTAACAAAGTTAAAATGTCCTTTGGAAAGTCGGATTGGGCAAGTCTCTTGGTTATGGAGAGGACATTTAATACTTGCTACAGTGGAAGGGGAACGTTTGTTTTGTCTGTACTGTATTTGACCATCACATGAGGCCTTGCCTGCACTTCCGCTTGACATGAGCTGTTTCTGCAATGTCCTGTGATAACGGGGTAGGTGGACCTGCTGCAAACGCCGCCGAAGTTGTGGATGCAGTCAAAGACCTCGCCCACTGGCATCGGGCAACAGTCCTGAATCTCCTGTGAGCTCAGCTGAGGCAACTCGCCAGTCTTGATGGCCTGGAGGCTGGCGACACATTCTGTTCAAAACAAGGGAAGGTTGATGACTTCATAATCAACAGCCCATATTGCAGTAATACAGGACACTATACGCGATTAAACACATGGCCCATATACTGCTTAATAATAATAGTAATATATATAGCGCATTGTGTCCATCTGTTAGTGGCTCATTAGACGCTGTAATCACAATCTGAATATTATTACCCCGGATAACCCAAGCTGCCTCTGAGGCGCCAGAAGGGTAATCGTCACATGACTTGTCCCACCGGGTACCCATTTTCTGCTGGATGAACAGAGGCAAGTTTGAACAGACTCACTTGCCTATTGTGAGACCACATGCATGTCATGTGCTTCGTTGTGGGGTAGGAATGAACTCCTAGAAACCCTCAGGAGCCAAGCTACCAAACAATCGCCCATCCAAGGGTTCACCGCGCTAAACGTTGCGCTTGACAACTATTGTCTCCTTTAGACTTATCCCCGACCGCGTCATACCAACAGACGTTAAAAGATGGTACTTGTTGGTCCCTGCCTGGCGCTCGGCATTAATGGGTACAACAAGGACTGGTCGGCTCGGAGTCAGTATACTGTGTCTGAGTGGGTTATTCATGCTTCACTGCGGCATGGTATCTCAGTGGGCTAGCACTATAAAACCAGCTTTAAGTCTGGGCTAGTACAAGCAGCCGCACATACCCATACACACGCATGCACGTCGTCATATGAGCGAAATATTCTCAAGCACGACGTTAAACCCAATTTCACCTCACCTCACCACCTTTAGACTTATCGCTACCATCGTACAAGTAACGTATGTAAAACGTGTTTTATTTCTCTGAACTGCAGCTCATTGGCCTATTGTATTCTGTATAGTATCATTAAGGGTTGTTCTGAAGGGACCGTAAAGAACTGATGTTCTCGGACACCGTACTGATAGCACAAATACACCTGAAGCGCGGCAAGGCCATTAGCTGTTCATACTGCACGAGATTCTGAGTAAAGGTCGACCGCGTATGATAAACATATGTTAGACTTGCAGTTTAAGGCGCTAGTGACCGATTGTTAATGGGTAACTCTTCCCAGTGATAGATGTTGAACAAGCAAGAAAAGTATAGATTAGATAGAAATAGAAACACACATAGTTGAGAGAATTATCCATTAACATTTTGACAGTTGCTAGAAAGACATTTCTTCATTGCGTAAACTTCAAAAGGGATTTCACGTTTAGTTGATTATAAGGGAATTTCACGTTATATAAAAGGGATTTCATATTTAGTTCATCGAGAGGTAGGTCAAAATGTATGTAGTTTAATTTAACACACCATAGATATTTTAGTTTAATGTCCCACTGCGTACCAAGGGTTATAGTGACATGAAGTTAAGTATACCGTATATCACAGTTGATAGGCCGAGCTATCCTTACCATGATAAAAGTAAGTTATATATATACCGAGAGAATCAAATAAGGGAACACCACTTCATGGCAGTTTTCCTTATACATGTACATGTATATACATGTGTGTATATATATATATATAATCTCAACTCCCTGGGGATCATACACCTCTTGTAGCCACTAGGCGCACCAAGTTAATGTGGCTTTCCCATCCTTACAAGGTACCCATTCACAGCTTGGTGGACTGGGACACGTAGTCACAGTACTTTGTCCAAGTTTACTGCACGTTGCTGTACCTGCAACTGGGTGTTTGCACGTATTCATGTGGCCACCATCTGGTCATATACCAACGGAATGGTGGCCACATGAATACATGCAAACACCCAGTTGCGGGTACAGCAACGTGCAGTAGACTTGGACAAAGTACTGTGACTATGTGTCCCAGCCCACCCAGCTGTGATTGGGTACATAGTAAGGATGGCGATGATGAACTCGAGTCTATAAATAGTTAAAATACAGCACCTTCAGCAACAATGGCGACAGGACTGCCCAATTCTCCTTGGTTGCTAACAGGGGAGATAACTCCTTTGCTTCTCCAGTCGAACGTCTTGGGAGGAGCTGATGGTAACTCGTTGCCAAGGGAAACGTCCACTACAGGTGAATGTTTGAAGAGCTGACGTCCGGAAAGCCTCTGACAATATAGAATTTTGGATAATGTTCAACGGTATATGAGATATTTAGAGAATAACCAACTCGGTACGAGTGATTACGGGAAATATGCCCGAGTTGAAATAATGTTCACAGAGCCGAGCATTGGCGTGTTACACTCACGTCACAGTAGAGTACAGCAGTTCCGAGAGGATAACTCTAGTCGGAATCCGAGTCTATGAAATGTGTCAATCTCTGCATCGGCTACTAGGACCAACCTCTCGGATTGATTAGGAATGAATGGATATAAAAAGTCATCTTGAAGAACATTTAGCACTGATTCCGGTAAGAAACGAGCTGTTTTCTGGTTCGATGGCATGGACGCCGTGTCCGACTCACTTGTTACACATTCAGATAACATTTTTGGTCAGTATTTTGCTGTTTCTATTTCCCCGAATTCAGTCTTAACAACAAACAGGTTTTGGGAATTCAAGGGCTGTAAAATTCTTATCACTCTTCCTATTTGGTCACCGTCAAATTTATCTAGGTAAGTGACCTTGATCGGGGTTAGCCTAACGGCGGCCATGTTTGTTTACAAACTATGCAAACGATTGTTTTAGTGGGTTTTTTAAGATTATATAATTTAAAAAGACTACTATTTATAACGTAATTTTATTGCAAAATAATAACGTCTAATAAAAAGATTACTCATATTCTTTGACCTTTGTTTTCTTTTTTAAATCTCGGAATGTGTGATTACAGCACGTTCTAATTATCAATGAAACGGTAAAAGTTGTCAATGAACGTGGATCATGAAAAGTAGTTCCGTCAACCAATCATATTTCTTCTCTGCTTAGTTGACCAATCAACGTTGAGAATCACTGAAAAGCACATGTGCAATTATCACAAAAATAATCACCTGTGTATCTTAGCCCGTATGGGTAATACGGTAAAGAATGCAAAGGGATTGATGAGTGAATATTCAAGTTTCGGGTGGGTATATCGCATTGTAGCCTTTTGAAAATCGAACCTGGATCTTCGGCGTAAAGAGCTAACGCTTTATCCACTTACCCTCGCTCTTTGTTTGTTTTCGTATTGGATAGTTTTGTTTTTATTGTTTCCATGCAGCCACGTGCGTTCAAACTGAGATGACGTAGAGGTGACGTCATTCTTGGTATTATGACGCAGTATTGTAATAGAAATTGTTTAGCAAATAACAAATGCCCATACCATTACAACCCGATACAGAGTATCGATAAACTTGATTTAAAGTCATCAACAACGTGTTGCATGCTGATTGTAATGCTCAATTATCAATACAGCAAGATATGATCGTTTTAGCTCATGTATGTGTTTGTATAGACTAACGCATTGTATCTGAACATACATAATTTTGACAGAATTAAACAATTCTAATTAAATTGAAAACCAGCCCCAGTGAGATGGGAGATTCAGAACCTGAACCTGAGGAAATCTAGACTTGCTTCATTTAGGGTTTTAGCTTTGCAGAGCTGAGTGGAAGGGAAACTGCGGTTCGGGGACTGTGAGAGGACCAGTTTTAAAAAATCAAAACAGGTGGGAAGCCATACACAAAGATTTTCCTGGTGTATAATATTGTTGTTTTTTCAGTTCGGCAAATGAAAATCTTTCATCTGAAAACTGTCGCCTAAACACTGTAAACGTAGTCAGGACACAGGACACTGTGACATTCTGTGACATGCTGCGACATATGATGTATGTAACATATCGCCATCATACGACTATGTATACTTTCTTTTGTTGGTCAGTATAGAAATCATAAATCTTGATCGGACATGCTATGTGTGTCTTGTATTTACCGACTGTACCTGTAATGTATCCTTATATCGTTCTTATCACTAATACTGCCCATGAATCAAGTAGCAGGTGTATGTCATGAATCCACACCTTTGCTATTTGCATAAGCTGTCGTAATAAGGTTCATAGTGATATTATATCGTATATCTTTGTACGGGAGACAAGTTTATCCATGAACGTATTGCGACATTGTGAAAATGAATGTCTGTAATGATTAGTCTATTGTCGAATTAGTGAGTTACGCTTCAATGTGGCATCGACGTTTTCTCAGGAATTTGGCGACACTAAGTTAGTGAGTGACTTTTGTTTTACGTCGCTTTTAGCAATATTCCAGAAATATCACGGCGGGGGACACCAGGAATGGGTGTCGCACATTGTACCCATATGGGGAATCGAACCCGGGTCTTCGGCGTGACGAACGAACGCTTTACCCACTAAGCTACCTCACCGGCTCTACTGATGAATTAAGGAAAGAGATAAAATAGATTTATAAATGCATGTACTGATAATTTGTCGAAACGATGGGAAATCTATTAATCTATGCATATACACATAGATGAGTTGCATTGCATTGCTGATACATACCCCGTCGGCGAGGTTGTTCATCTCAAGGGAGAAGCCGGCGTCGACCATGTTGTTGTGGCCCCCCTGACCGCTGTACCTCCTCCCGTACTTTACTTTCCACTCCTCCCATCTCCTCAGCAAGTTGTCCCGAGGCGCTCCGAGGGAGGAGGAAGTAAGGGCCAGTAAAAGAACGACGCACGCAACCTTCATGTTTGTTGGTGAAGTGGTTGTGTTGTTGTGTTAACGTAGCTCTATTTTATATGCTGCGGTCGATCTTATCCATTGACTGTTGCGGGCAGATAAGAATTTTATCACATGACAGAGTGTGTGCCACGTGGTCCCGTGACTGCCGTATAGGAAGTCATTCAATCCTCGCGACAGTGTCACGTGATTTGGCTTAACCTGCACGTAGTCAAGTGCATACGGGTATGCACTATTAGATGCATCGCCTTACATCAAGTCATCCTGGTGAAGTATTTTTAAAATTACGACTGCAATTTTTTCAGATTCAAATTTTAAATATATGCTTTCTTCTGTCCTTCAGTATGTGTAAATGAAATCAGGTTTTCGAAACAATTGATTTCTTGTGTAATTCTTATAATTCGTAAGGTTATTACATGATTAAATCGAGTTATTATGCAAAAGTAAATAATGGTATTGAGTCTTAACTTTTCAAAGTATATCTTGAATCTATCAGCTCAACGCATTGGCTTTGCAGAAAAAGAAGAAAAAGGAAAAACATTCACCGCACAGTTATGTATAATTTTCAATGTGTGCAAAACGGTAGTAATTAACAAGAGCAAGGAAAATAGAATGCATAGATTCTAATACATTTATAACTGTTATATACACGATTAAGGTATTTAGAGGTACTTTCATAGGCCTTACATTGTTAGAGGTCATGAGCATTTTAGCAACGTATGATAGTATCTATTGCTGTTGGAGAAAAGACTCGCCTCCAATTATATAATAAAAATCATCTCCCACAGTGATTGAATGTTTGTTTAATTTTATATCGTTGTATGACTAGTTTTAGAAATAGGTATAAGAATATCACAGACTTATCTTGAGTTGTTTATTTATGTCAAGGTGTGCGTGTGCGCGTGCGTGCGCATGCTGATCATACCCTGCGTGTATTTACTTGCGCCCATTTTATATTTGTTTGTTGTTTAATATCGCACTCAGCAATTTGCCAACTCGAGTCTGAAAATAATCGAGTCTGGACCAGACAATCCGATCTACGCAACTGGGATACGATGACATGTGTCAACCAAGTCAGCGAGCCTGACCACCAGATCCCGTAGGTTGCTGAAGGTCGTTCCTACCCATGGGGGCGGTGGGGTAGCCTAGTGGTTAAAGCGTTCGCTCGTCATGCCGAAGACCCGGGTTCGAAACCCCACATGGGTACAATGTGTGAAGCCCATTTTCGGTGTCCCCTGCCGTGATGTTGCTGGAATATTGCTAAAAGCGGCGTAAAACCAAAGTCAGTCAGTCAGTCAGTCGTTCCAACCCGAGACCGCATATGTACACTTACAAACAGTTCATACATCTAGGCGTGCTAAATGCAATGTCTATTCCTTATAGCGGATATTTACAATCCCCTAACACACAAGTGTGATAACCTCTTTATCAAATGATATCATTCTTAAATTCTGTTGCAGACTACCTCTCAGACAGCTATTTTAACAGTTTCCAAAACCCAATCGAGTTTCCGCAGAACGTACGCATTAACATATTACGTCACAGCGTCAACAGGTAATATAGTTCAACTTGAAAACCTGTTTTAGCAAATAACATAGAAAAAACGTTGTAGACAGAGAGCCCGAATAAATGTATTATTGTTCTTTTAAAGGTTATCTACAACAATACAGTTGTTACCGGGAGCGGTTGGGTAGCCTAGTGGTTAAAGCGTTCGCTCGTCACGCCGAAGACACGGGTTTGATTCCCCACATGGGTACAATGTGTGAAGCCCATTTCTGGTGTCCCCTGTCGTGATATTACTTGAATATTGCTAAAAGCGGCGTAAAACTAAACTCACTCGCTCATATATTTGCGGCACTATGTAGTTCTCCCAGATTGTCTTACATGAAAGAGAAACAACTATCAATTCTGTCTGGTCGTATAGAATTTGAATAACGTCCCACAAGGGAACAGAATGAAACTGTAAAAGTTCGGATAAATGTCTACCAAATCCAATGGTCTTAAATCGGGTAATAAAAACAAACTGGAGACATCCATACTTGACAAAATAAGTTAGGGACATATGTAAATTTTGAAATTATGAATAAAGATTTATTCATTCATTGACACACTGATAAAATATCTATCTTAACAATACCAATATCCCTAACTTATTTTGTCCAGTATATATGAAAATTGAACTCTCCCGGCTTTGTGACAGTGCTTCACATTTAAATACAAGGTGTGCCCTAAACGTCCACAGCTTCGCAACAGTTGCCTGTAGTTATCTCAATACTGGGTGAAAACCGTTATCCCACTAATGTGTGGATGTGCAAGGGCGACGAGAATTTTTGTTTGCCATTGCATATATTAGTACCAACGTGACCCCTTGTGTTGGGTATCTGCCACTAAATGACCCCAGTGACATCCCCACAGGGTTATCACGACCGACAGATAACAAATGTCCATCGCCTATCGGGGTGGTACTATTCCCAGTTACTGAGACAGGGATACATCGCTGTTCTTTGGTCTCCTTACCTGCAAATCCAGCTATTTCATGAGTCGTGTTTTAATGAAGCAACAGACTTGTGTTCATAATAAGGGAATTTTAGGGATTTGGGTTTAATTTTTAGGCAATCCCGTGTTTCGCAAAAACTAAGTTTCACGTGTTTTAGTGATACGTGAATGTCCCTGTTACCAAGACACACAACTGTGTTTAAACGATAACAGATCTCCACTTGATACAAGGTCAAATAATATGTTCGTGATAAAGAATCTCCGCGAAGTTTCACGATAAAGAAATCCTCATGTGATATCATTGTGTATCTATGATATCGCTTTCTCGCTTTCTCGCCTCCGAATTTTAAGGCGAGAAAGCGATCCCTAATCAGCCACCATATATATCCCATGCACGTATTATGCAATAGGGGCGGTGGGTATACGAGAAATAGCCTAGTGGTTAAAACGTTCGCTCCTCACGCCAAAGATCCTGGGCCTAGATTTTCGAAGCTCTCTTAGCGCTAAGATAGTCGTAAGTTAATGTTATTCTATGACACTTACGACTATCTTAGCGATAAGAGTGCTTCAAAAATCTAGGCCCAGGTTCGATTCCTCACACGGGGACAATGTGTGAAGCCCATTTCTGGTGTCCCCCGACGTGATATTGCTGGAATATTGCTAAAAGTGGCATAAAACTAAACTCGCTCACTACGATGGAAAATCTCCATAGGGGAACCACCTGGAGGTCAATCAGATATAGGTAAGGAAACCAGTGACCGGTAAGGCATTAGAGAAACATCTGTATTATAATAGCTTCACGTAACAATTGCCACTAACGTGGAATAACATAAGTATGTTCCTGCAACGTGGAATTTGTCTTCAATAATGATTTGAAGATTTAATTGAAAATGTTCGGTTGCTTGATTTCCTCACTGGCTCGCGGTCTGGTTGGTTGGTTGGTTGGTTGGTTTGCTTGCTGGCTGTCTGATTTATGGGACCTTGATGTTTGTTCCAAGGGTAACGATATGCATTCAACTTTACCCATTAAGATGGCGCTACGTGAACAGTTATCCACAGCTAATAGTTATGAAGACATACACCTTAAACTTGTGTACACACTGGAAATGCGCACAACGAAGCTTTTGCACCCCGAAACTTACGTATAGACCTCCATACCGGGCTGGTTGTCTTGTAAAATCCCATCGATTCACTTTCTATTTGTTTACTAATCGGTAAAGGGCGATGGGGTAGCCTAATATGTTATGCGTTCGCTCGTCACACCGGGTTCAATTCTCCAAATGTACAATGTATGAAGCCGATTTCTGTTCTGCTGCCGTGATATTGCTGGAAATGTGTTAAGATCAGCGTAAAACCATACTCACTCACGACTCGATGGACGCACGAGAGTTATTCTGTAACCAGAGCTATATAATAACAGATTTAATAAGCGGACATGCTGCAGATTCTCAACCCATCGCCATCAATCCATTATACATAACTGACAAATCCTTACTCGATCATCAATCTGTTTCAAGTTTATTGACAGGTTGTGTTACACGTCAGTAGGGATAGGAAACGTATGACTCTATGGCACATTCATCAGATCCTCTCCGTATCCAGATGTAGCCGTCCATCCCCCATCTGGAACCTGAAACATGTACAACACGGGGGTGTCACAAAGTTACGCTTGTGCGTGCGTGTGTGCGGGGCGTGTGTGTCTTTACCTCTGTGTCCCCTCTACTTTCAATGAAAAGTGTCTCTACAAATTGTCTGCCACACAAGCCATGTAGTTTTCCTTGAATTAATTTCACGGCAATTTCAACAGTGTATCATGAACACCGCAGATGCATTTGGGAAGAAAAACCGCAATTATGTCTCTTACGTTTAACACTTTAGTCACTGTGAATTTGACGACTGTTGTGCTTAAACATAATCCTATGTCTGATTGGCATTTTAGCTGGTGAGTAACTAGAAAGGTAACTGAAACATACTTTAAGGATAACACCTTTTATGATGCGACGTTTCGGAAGAGATGTTTGGTCGAGAACGCTCTAAGAACGGAGAACGTTCTATGGATACACAACTTCTGTGTTAACAATGTAAGCGATGTTTCTGTACAGATACTTATGGCGTTAACGCATTTGAGTGGCATGCAGCTGGTGTGATGAATTCGAACAACGGAGACAGTTCTATGGATATACAACTTCTTTAATATCGATGTAAGCGATGTTTCGGTGTAGATGCTAACAGTTTTAGCAATCAAGTGTGTGCATCTACACCCAAACGTCGCTTACATCGATATTACAGAAGTTGTGTATCCATGCGCTACATGCCACTCAAATGCGTTAACGCCGAAAGTATCTGTACAGAAACGTCGCTCCATGATGCAATAAGGGAGGTGTCATCCGCTAAGTGCCTTACCTTTCTTGTTTACACATATCAGTTCGAATCAAGGATTCGAGACCACTAAAATACGTCTCTTGCACAGCGAAGGGGAGCAACTCATCACAGCTAATTGCGGCGCCTTAGACAAGTATGCCGACCTCGCGTCTGTTAGCGTGAAAAACGTGGACATACTCACTCCAGCTGTTTTTACATATCCAGTACTTCTGTCCCTCCTTCTGTCCGTACCCCACGAGCTGCAAGGCGTGGTCCACTCTCTCTGTACTGCAGTTGGGGTCGCTGTAGACACCGCCTCCGTACAGCTGGAAGGTCACGTGACTCGCGTCCACATACACCATCAGGGGGCGCTGAAGGAGGGCTGTGATCATTAGATCCGGGCGTCTTGGCGGAAGTCGTTTCCCGCCTTGTATCTGAATAGGAAAGATATGATAAAATAATATAACCAACATCAATAATAATAATTACTAAAATAATGACCTTATTGATATGCTAACAATTTCTGATGTTGCATTAAGGATAATTCCCTTGAACATCCAAAACCAAATGCGTTTCTTTTCTATACTTCGATGAACTGGCTAAATCGCTTTTAGACGTACGCAACCCGCCACATTATGTCATTTAGTAAAATCTTATCATAAATTAATCGTAAATTATGTCTGAGGCGGTAACACAACTCTGTCAATACCTGATGAGGTTTCTACGATCGTATTGCCACTCAACATACTTGTTAAAAGAATGAGGATTACATGGACACAATCGACGAGTGTGCATAAATCGTTGTTTCTGAAACACAGTGTAAAGGTTTTGGCTGCGAGGTCACTTATAATTTTTTAGATGGAGGTGTGTCTTATTCTAAAATGGTGCCAGTTGGAATATATGGCCTTGCCCTTACCTGTAGTCCAGGGTGACATGTATTATTCCGACACTGCCCCGTCAGAGCCGGATAGTCTTTCTCGCTACAAACCCCGCCGATGTTGTGTACGCAGTCGAAGACGGTGTCGTTATGGGCTCGACAACAATCGGCGATCTCCTGGTAGCTGGTGTTCAACATTTGTCCGGTTTTTATCGCGTTCCAACTTTCCATGCATTCTGCAACCAAAGTGTTAATTGTAGAAAGTTTGAGGTGATTTAGGATTCACTTGTTTAGCAGCAAAGTGTCGAAATAATGAGTGAGTGAGTGAATGTGTAAACAGTTTGTCACACTGGCAGTGTCTTATTACTTCAACGATTTATACAATAGAAGATCAAGAAGTTCACATTTACAACAATCATAATTATTTTTCTCAAAGGTGTCAACATTGATTAACTTATTGTCAGCTTCCTGAGGAGTATACAAAATTCCCACCGAACGAATCGTGCTTTCCGTCTGAATCAAATAGAGTTATTGTGGACGTGAGGATATTGCCAAACTTTATACACGAGTGTCCAAAGCCATTCCCTAGTTTTTTTATTGTACCAGGTGTTCCCGCGTGTGTTTTTTCAGGTAACCAATTGACTTGCCCTGCATGTGTTTGTGACGTGTACTGGGCAGGATATGCTAATCTTCTGTCGAACACATGTGATCAGTTCTTTTTGATAATGATTTCTCAACATCAGTATAGCAGTGCAATATCTTCTGTTTTTAACAGACATCTTGTGAAAATAGATAGGTTTTAACGTTTTTAACTTGAAGTACTAATCCATTAGACCAAACGGTAGAACACGTTCGCACAGTGTGTCCAAGTATTCCTCGCCATCATCATCATCATCATCATCATCATTATCGACTGGCCTCTTTAGTGTATTGGAGACATCCGGAGAGCGGAAGGTCGATGCACCGAAAACTGGAGTTCGATTCCCGACATGAGTACAATATGTGGAACCCATGTCTTGAGTCCCCCGCCATGATATTGCTGGAATATTGCTAAAGGCGGCTTAGATCCTTAGTACTGACTCTTATTCATACTATACTGTTTCCTCTCGTGCATGTTCAGACCGGAATGTATTGGTCATGCAACCCCTATTGGAGTTTTTCTCTCCTTTGTCTAACAGTAGGGACGAGCAACAATACACATACCATTCAAAATGTATTAGGGTTAGTGTTATGTATGGAATTACTGGAATCGCTTTTCAAAAGTTGAGTAGAATAGCATGGAGGATGCAACGAACCTGCTGCTGCAACGGCATCGGCGCTGCCGATAGTCCCTTGGTTTTTGACTGCGGAGATGACCCCTTTACTCCGCCAATCAAATGAAGGGGGCGGGGCTTGAAATGCCTCGGTGTCGTCTGCCCTGGCAGCTGTACGAGGTTGGAGCGCGGGAAAGACTGGATGCCGTTGTTGAAGAATCTGAGCCGAAATAGAACTGGGCTTACTTAGGCTTTGTTCATTCAATATTATGTTTTTCATGATACATCTGTATTATTTGTAATATCTAAAATGTAATGGATACAATGTGTGAAGCCCATTGAAGGATGTCCCCCGCCGTGATGTTACTGGAATATTGCTAAGAGCGGTGTAAAACTATATTAGCTCACTGTGAATTGTTGCCATAGATGGATACCTACAACTGTAACAGAAGTAAAGATTTAAGTAACCAGCATGTGTGTGCGCGCGTGTGCATCAGCACGTGTCATGCATTTATATGCAGCTTTGAAGTTTTGAGGCCAGGTCTTGAGTTGTTTTTTTCACATATGTTATACCGTAGCCAATCTATCAGTAGTTCGACATCAAGTCTCAGAAATTAACATATTTTACAGAAATCAGTTCTGAAATTAATTACTAAAATCTAATAAAAATGAGTCGGTAGGCTTTATTTCCTGAACTGCACTAACCCAGACTTGCCACATATTCTAGACTTGCATTGCTTTCTAGACTTGCCACATATTCTAGACTAGGCTTGCCACATATTCTAGACTTTCCACATATTTTAGACTCACACATTTTCTAGACTTGCCACATTTTCTAGACCCCGACCCACATATTCTAGACTTGTCACATATTCTAGACTTGCCACATATTCTAGACTTGCATGGGCTTTCTTGGATGTATTTGTGTCTGGTTTCGTATGACCTACAAACCTGAGTTGTTATCTCAACCAAGGCCGGTTTCTATTGTATACTTCCGTCCTGCAGTGTTGAGGGAATCAATTAATGACCTTGTGTTACCGATACGTACCTGATCGGCGAACTGGTTCATCTCAAGGGAAAAGCCAGCTTGCCGTCTCTTGTTGTGAGCCTCCACCAGACCCATGTTGGCCTGCCACGCCCCTCTCCTCTCTTCCTCCTCCCCCAGATCGCTGTATCTCCTCCCGTACTTCACTTTCCACTCCTCCCATCTCTGCTGCAAGTTGTCCCGAGGCGCTCCGAGGGAGGAGGAAGTAAGGGCCAGTATTATAAGTGTTTGTGATAGGCATGCCATTACTGGTGGTTGAAGGAATGTGATTTACGTTCAGCGATATACATTTGATGGACTGATAACCTTGTCACGTGATACGTGTAAACATGGCCTTTGACCTGTCGCTATCGACATGTAGGTCATATGGGCAGCGGAGAACAGTTTGTGTGGGTGTGTTAGTGCGTGCGTGTGTTTGTGTGTGTAGTTGTCTTGTAGTGAGTAACACCTTTTGAGAGGACTATAGACGTCTTAGTAAAGATAAGATAGACGGACGAACAACTTCTTGATAACAGTTTTAGAATCTCCACCGAAACGTCACTCCTCGTTGTATATAAAGAAATTGATCATCCATACGTCTTATACTCCCTTGGCTGCGAGGGTGTGTATGTGCCTGTTGTTTTTAAAAAAAAAATGTTATGTGTTTATGTGTGTTTTTTTAAAAAGTTTTTTAAAATAAATTCTTAATTATGAAAATATTGACTCCATGGGACAGATGTTTAGAAAGGGAAACACACATAATCACAAATAAGGATGTTGTGGATCAACTTCATAATAATCAACAGAACGAATTGATGCGGAACTGCAGATTACTTCTCGCTTCACGCTGAGGGAGGGGGAAGAAGGGTGACTCCATTAAATGAATAAATGTTTTCAGTGGGCATGATCAAGGTTTTCATAGCTTATAGCCTCCGTAACCAACTAATGTTCAGCACCATCTCTTCAACTCTGGTGCTGATAAAAAACCCAATCACTATCGGGCGAATCTGGGATCAATTATACGATCACTGAATCCAGAGACGACCAAGGGGGGTAACTCTATATAGAAAATTGCATGTCCTTGGTCATGGCACCATCCCCTCTCACTTTCTATCCTCTTCCCCTTTCTAGCGGTGTGGTCACCAACAAAGGTCTGTGCCCCACAGTCCTACAGGCCGAGTACAACTTCTCCTTCCACAAGCGCAACTACAACCACGACGTGCTCCAAGACTGGGAGGATGGCGGTTCTTTTGAAGAAGTGGAAACCGTTACTCCGTTACTCAACACAGACTCAAACAGGTGATATATTTTCGTCTTTTACAAAAAATATTCAAGACCATTGATTACTGACTGAGTGTGGTTTTAGCAATAGTTCAGTCCTGAATTGGTAATCAATACTTTGATGCTTGACAAATGTCATCGGTTCCCAATTGCGCAGATCGATGCTCATGCTGTTGATCACTGGATTGTCTGGTCCAGACTCGATTATTTACAGACCGCCGCCATATAGCTTGGAATTTTGCTGAGTGCGGCGTAAAACTAAACTCACTCACTCACTCAATACTTTGAAATCCATTAGGGATTCAAACCCGGTATTGGGCGTGACGTCCATGATTTCCAAACATACCCACACCGCAACAACTACCACCACTACCAACCTCACCAAAAGCCTGAAGTTAGAAATTCAGAAAAAGTAAACTTTTCCTGATAACTGTAGTTCGTTACCTGCATTTTGACTAAAACGTACAGGAGTGAGTGAGCGAGTTAGCTTTACGTTGCTTGCAGCAATATTCAAGCAATATCACTATATCGCGGCGGGGGACACCGGAAATGGGCTTCACGCATTGTGCCCATGTGGGGAATCGAACCTGGGTATTCGGCGCGACGAGCGAACGCTTTAACCACAAGGCTACTCCATCACCGCCAATACAAGCCGCATTTAGCAATATTCCAGCAATAACATGGCTCTGGACTCCAGAATTTGGCTTCATACATTGTACCCATTTGGGGAATCGAACCCGGGTCTTCGGCGTGACGAGTGAACACTTAAACCACTAGGCTACATCACTGCTCCCCGTTTGTGTAAATAACTCCTATCATAAGCTGTGTTCGTGTTTCCAGGTCGACCGCCCGTCTGCAGCCACACCTGGTGCTCCATCACTATTCCAACATGGGATAAGCGCCCTCTACCGGAAGTACCATGTCAAGCTGGGGTTTGGTCCAAGCAGGTACAGAACTGACCATTTGGTGCTCTGGTTTTTCGGGTTACAATGTAGAAATGATTGTTAACTTAATGTCCTGTCGAAATTTGTGCTATCGGTCCACAAAATGCTGTGCCCTCCACTTCCATGCCTTATGGTGTGTGAGTGAGATTAGTTTAACGCCGCTTTTAGCAATATTCCATCAATTTCACGGCGGGGAACACTAGAAAAGGACTTCACAGATTGCATTTAGGCATTATAGTCCCATTGCACAAGACAGGAAATAGAGATGATCCTAATAATTATAGGGGAATAGCGCTTCTGGACATTATCAGTAAAGTTTTTACATCAATACTTGACACGCGTATAAAATCCTGGATATCAACCAAAGAACTACTCTCTGAGTCATAAGCTGGCTTTCGAAACAATTACAGTACAATTGACCAGATATTCATACTTAACTGAATAATTCATAAATACATAAGACAAAACGTGGCAAATTCTACTGTATATTTGTTAGACTTCAAAAAAGCCTTCGACACTGTTGATAGGAATATATTAATGTATGTTCTTTTGAATAATGGTTTACATGGCAAAATAACCTCTCTGCTTCGCAATATGTATTCGAATGTGAGAGCAGCTGTGAGATGCAGTAAGCAGACTATCACTGATGTATTTAAGTCGACAGCCGGAGTCCGGCAGGGTTGCATACTGTCTCCCGTCTTATTTATTCTATATACTGTATAGAGGAACTCGTAAACGATATTGTGAATAGCGAATACACTGGTGCATTCATTGATGAAACTGTAGATGCATTTTCTATCTTATTATTTGCGGACGACGTCGCCATATTTGGAGATAGTGTCATAAACTTGCAGAAGAAAATAGATGTTCTTAAATCATATTGCAAAAAATGGGGACTGTCGATTAATACCGAAAAGACTAAGATTGTTGTATTTACAAAAGGTGGTGGACTTTCAAAAAATGAAAAATGATTTATTGGCTCTGAAAGACTGGAATCTGTTTCCAATTACAAATATCTCGGAATAGTGTTTTCATGCCGGAACCTGTTTTCAAGAGCTTGTGAGGTTCTGTGGTTACAAGCCGAGAAGGCGTTATATCCTATCAAAAAAATTATATGTCGATTTAAATCTCTTCCTCCAGATACATGCCTTAAGATTTTTGATGGCAAAATTCAACCAATCTTGCTCTACGGCTCAGAAATTTGGGGAACAATGTATCGTCATAACATTGAAAAAGTCCTCTCTAAGTTTTGCAAATTTGTCCTAGGAGTTGGTTATCGCTCTTCTAATAAAGCTGTTTTAGTGGAATGTGGAAGATATCCACTCCAAGTCAATTATAAAACAAGAGTTATATCATACTGGTTACGACTACTTAGCCAGCCAGCCACAAGACACTCTAAACGTTGCTATAATATGATGAAAAATCTAGATGATAATGGAGATACTAACTGGACCTCCTCAGTTAGAACATTGTTATTTCAATACGGTTATGCACATGTATGGATCCACCAAACAGTTGGATATCCTAATATGTTCTTAAAGCTATTCAAACAATATATAGAGATATATATTACCAAGAATGGTCATCCGATATTGCAAGCTCCAAATATTTGTATGCATATTCACTATTTAAACATGACATTGTCCATGGAACATATTTAGAAGTATTATCCTCTATGCAACTCCGCAGATCTTACAAAATTTAGATGTGGCATCAGTAAACTGAATGTACAAACCTATAGAAGATCCAAAGATGATGATATCAGTTCTGCCATGTGCGCTCATTGCGTCAATATTGTCCAGGACGAGTACCATGTTCTATTACAATGTCCTGTTTTTTTCTGATTTACGCATCAGGTATATACCACAATATTATTGTGTAAATCCCAACATACAGAAATTTGTAAATTTACTTAACACCCAAAATGCAAATGTTATTTTACGCCTAGCCATATTTGTAAACAAAATCCATAACTTTTTATGATACTTACAAATGCCAGTGTACTTCTCATGCCAGCGCTCCAAAGAACATGTCAAATTTTCAGTGTACTATTGGCCTCATGGCCACTCTACGAAATAACTCTGTCTGTCTGTGTGTCTGGCTGGCTGGCTGGCTTCACAGATTGTATCCATGTGGGGAATCGAACCCGGGTTTTCTGCGTGACCAGCGAACGTTTTAACCTCAAGGCTATCCTAACCCCCAGTTGATGCCTTACAGTGGTTCAAGAGACATTAACTTTTTATGCTTGATTAAACATCCAATCATGTTTATTGTACCCAATGGTCTATTGTCGTCACTATGGTCTAATATCGGCCACACGATCTTGCATTCAGGCTGTGGTCAAAAAGACTATAGTCTAATGTTGTTGGTATGCTCTAATATTGAAACTTCATATCGCGTAATTTCGTCATACTTCGTATAACTATCGTGGAGTGAGAGCGAGTTTAGTTTTATGCCGCCTTTAGCACTATTTCAGTAATATCACGGCGGGTGACACCAGAATTGAGCTTCATACATTGTACCCATGTGGGGAATCGAAACCGGGTCTTTGGCATGACGAGCGAACGCTTTAACCAACCGGGCTACCCCACCGCCCCGTAAATATCATGACATGCCAGTAGGTAGAGATATATTATGATGAATGTACACTATATATGCGACCAATCGTACTCAACGTGTTGTCGTCTAAACAGCACTGAATGTCAATTTCATTCCTCTCCAGTGGCTTCTACGACTCGGCCTGCATACCCTCTGACCCCACTACGTGGACCGCTGGACAAGACCACGTGATACAAGGCACAGTGAAAGTCCTCTTCTGTTCCTCCGGGAACGTACTAGGTATTGCCACGTCTTCTGAGGCGACCCATACGTTTGTCCTTGGTGATGTGTAAACACAAACTAGAAATCAATGGTAGCTCATGTCAAGGTCTTTCAAGGTCAACGTCAATACCAATGACGTGGTGATAAATTCAACAAAATCCCATTAAGACCATAGTAAATTATATTTAATCCACCCCTCTTGCAATTATGCTGTCTAAGTATCCGCATAAAAAGAACATCAGTACCTCTTTGGTCATTTGG